TCAAGGAATAGAAGTTGGATGCCATCCATGAGACACTGGCTTAGAGAAGGGAGCAACATCCTTGAGAAGAAGGTTTGGTGTCCAACTGTCAAAGGGCACTCTTCGCCCTGATAAAGAAAGAGATTTTTAGTACTTTGACATTGTTAGGTCAGCACTAATTGATAGACATTGGTTCTTGGCTTAGAGAAGGGAGCAACATCCTTGAGATGAAGGTTTGGTGTCCAACTGCCAAAGGGCACTCTTTGCCCTGATAAAGAAAGAGATTTTTAGTACTTTGATATTGTTAGGTCAGCACTAATTGATAGACATTGGTTCGATTGTACCAAAAAATAAGGACCACTTCGACAAAAGGGTTCCGACAGAGTGGCTACACCATGGTTACGTCATTGTCTCACCACCCTATAGGTGTCGTGGAAGAGCAGGTGGGGTGGCCACACCCGAAGGGTGGCGTAAGTACGCCACCCACTCTTTCTGATCAGTGTGACTACATCGGTCTCAGGCATTGTCACGCTGCAAGGCTCAGATCAAACAAGGTATGGACTTCTGGCATGGTCACTCCACAAGACAAGCGTGGCCACACCCAATCTAAGTGTGTTCATGCTGGGCCCAGTTGGGTCGAGTCTCCTTTTTTAGGGTTTTTACGCCATGTTCTAACTCGATAAACCCAACCTAAGTAAAAACAACATTTTGAATCTGTGATATCCATTTTGCAATCCAAAGTCATCTAAACAATATTTTTGCAGACAAGTAAGCCAAATCACGGCCTGATTTACTAGTAACGTGTCGAGCAAAATTCGTCAGTCCTATCAAATCCGTCAAACGAGCATAATGTTGTTCGGTCTTCTCCTTCACAATAACTAGTCTCCAGCAAAGCACCCTTGACCATGTGTTGAAGGATCGAAATCAAATGTCTTGGGCCTTGGGAGGTTACACATGCGTGAAGCATACTCTCAGGTCATTTAAGTGGACACCCTACGCTTCTGACATCGAATGATGATGTCAACAGTGAGATTATCCAATTTCTTGGACATGGCATCAACTTGGTTAGCTAAAATATTCAGAACATCAAATTCAAGGACGCTAACTACCTTTTTGGGTTGCACACTCTCAACAGTCTATTTAAAGCTATTGGTAGTCATTTCCTCAATCAAGTCATATGCCTCCTCATAAGGTTTGGTCATCAACGAACCTCATACAACAACTTATATAAGGGGCCTAAGGGAATCTACAAGTCTGTTATAGAATGTTTGGATGGTTAGCCAGTTGCGTCAAGCATGGTGGGGACAATTCCAAAGCAACCTTTAAATCTCTTCGAGGCCTCATCAATAGTTTCTCCCTCAAATTGTGAAAATAATGTGATATCATTCCTATGTTTGATAGTTTTGGTCATTACAAGTGGTGATGGATCATTGGGCTAAAGAGTTCAGCCACACTTTAGCTATATCGCTAAGGGAAAAGAGAAAAAGCCTTACTATAACACCATCAGTGAGGACAGTGTTATACCTAAAGGTGGTGCGCATTTCTAAAAAATTTGCTAAGTGCATATTTGGGTTCATTTGGTAAGCCATCCCTACTGGTGTCATAGGTGTGGTCAGTGCTTTCCTACGACATCTAAAAGTTCTCTCAATCTCAAGGTCAATTGGTGTTAGGTCAAATTAAAAGGAAAGTGGATGTGAAACTCACACACTAAGGATTCTAGACTCAAAGAAAAAGACTAAAAAATAATACAAAAATTTGACCCCAGCAACACACACACACACACGCACACACGCACACACGCACCACAAAAATTTGACCCCAGCAACACACACACACACGCACACACGCACACACAAGAGTCGATTCAACACCCAATCACAATCAACGTGAAATCAAACAAATGCAGAAAAAAAATGATTATCAATAAAAAAAATTTTGGTTTTTTCATATTTTCTTTTATAGCAACATCTGCAAAGAAAAATGCAGAGCGATATAAGTGCAGCAGAAAATTTGAAAGAATCAGAAAAGAAAAACTTCCAACAAAGAAATAAAAACTGAAACAATATCGAACCTAGATTCTAGATGTTCATCTACAGTTCTTCTTTGTTTCAAAACATTTTCTTAGTGCAACTACCCTAGCAACAACGTCAAAAACTTGATATCCGCAAAAGAGTCGCGAAGCAGATAGCCACTATACACAAATATACGTGTCCAAGTAATATGCGGCTTTAAAGAAGTGTCGTGTATCGTTCCCACGAGGAAGCATGTTCGGAAATTGATTTGAAAAAGCTTAAGTTATAGTTTACTACCTTTTCAAAACTAGTTCAGTGAGATTTATAAACAATTACAGTAAATCCTAAGTCTGGCTGATTCTAACGAAAATAAATAAAAGAAAATAGGAATCAAAGTTTTTTGTTGTTTTTCCATGATTGATGAAGATCATGCCTCTGTGATTTATGTGTGGCACTTGGATTGAATTTCATATAAATTCCTCTTTCATGGTTGTTGTCACACAAGGATGTTAAGTTCTTTTATGCCTATATCTATGTCCCAGGAAGAATTGGAATTCCACTAAGATAGCTTCCACCTATCTTTATGGTGTCCCCAATAAATTCAAAACCCCTTCAATTGGTTGTGGGACCCACAAAAAAATATTTCTATTTTTTACAGATCTTGTTTGGCTTAAATGAAGTCAGAAGGTTGACTAACAACTTTTATCAAATTAAAGTGCAGAAAACGATACGAGAAATCAGGGATAAACATCAATCCAAGAAATTCGTCCCAAAAATTACGAAGGCGTGAAAAAAATATTTAGCTACTATGGCTTGAGAAAATAGCAAAGGCAATTTCATTGAAAAAAAAATGCAAGAAACATTTTCATTGAGATAAAAATAACTTATAAAAATAGCAAAGGCAATTTCATTGAAAAAAAACCTGCAAGAAACATTTTCATTGTGATAAAAATAACTTACAGTCATTTGATCTCCTCTCTTACAAGAACAACACTCAATTTCTCTCATAAATCTCTCTAAGAAAAACATGACAAAGATATCTCGAAAAAGAGAGAAAATCTCTTTCTAAAACCTAGCCTCCTCTAAATTATCATCCCCAAAAGCTTCCAAAATCTTCCAATTACATGATTTTTATAGCATGAGTTCAAAATTCTTTCCAAATACGTCGGAGTCCCGCAATTAAAATTTTTCAAATCAGAAATTATATGCCAATGTGACCACACCCGATTTGCAGGGTAATTACACTGCCCTCTCAGGTTGGGAGGCGTGATCACGTTGCAATTCGGCGTAACTACGCCGAACCCTCCAAAACATAGCTCTTCTTTAGAATTTGGGGGTTTTCATGCTGCTTAAGTGGTGTGGTCACGCTAATTCCTGACTTATCTATGTCAGTCTGATTTTCCCCAAAACTCTTTGTTTTGCTCTGTTTTTCGTGTTAGCTCTCCTGTAACTTACAAAATGCAATTTCAATCTTTTAAAAGCGTGAAATCGTGTATTTAAAGCGGAAGATTGTTGGAATTAAAGCATAAGCACCATAAAAAATTAGAAGCATGTCAAGATGATTCATAAGGATGAAAATGTATGTGTGAGCAAAACTGAGAAAGATCTAAACCCCAATATTATTCAACCTATCATAATCGAATGACCATGAGCTTTGGCTCCTTCTCACAAGGTCGTGAGGACAAAGTTTAAAACTAGGGTTGCAACTAAGCCGATCAAATTCGAGTTCACCTCTATAAGTGGCTTGAGAGCTAGCTCGTTTAAAAATTAATTACTACAAAGTATACTAAAATAAATTAAAAATTTAAGATTTTATCTTCGTATCAATAAAAAAAATTGTCTAAAAGATTACATAATACATTTTATATCAAATGATTTATTATTTTTTTATCCCCTAACTATTAATTTTATTTCTCATTTTATTATTACCCTAGTTTAAATTAATATAATATTTCTTTCATAATAAAGAAGCAAGTTCATGAGCCAACTCAAGCTTTCATCAAATGTATCTCGAGCTCAATTCAACCTGTTTACACCCCTACTTAAAACCTCACATATAAGTATGTACCTAAATTCATTATTAAAGTAGCCTATTATCCTTAAAAAAATATTTTTTTATATGATAATTACTCAAAATATTAATTATAATATGTTAATCAAATAAATTTTAAATATAATACTTTAATCACTAAAAATTTTTACTCAAAAGCTCTTACTAATAAATAAAGTAGAGAATGTTATATTTAAAATATAATATTTTAAATGATTGATACATAAAAAGCTAACCTCACCCGCCAACCATGGAAAAATTATTTCATACCTTGCTTACGGCGTCCGATCCGGACCGTAAATCACCCGATCTACGGTCCCAATGTATTTCGGTGAGCCCCACTAAAATTTAAAAAAAAAAATGAAAATAATTCTGACCGAACACCGCAGTGTTCGCACGTAATAATTCCTCCCAACCATAACATATATTGACAATCTCACCATCCCTACAAAGCGAAGCTCAAAGTGGATAAAGACTAGCATGATATAGTAATAAATAAGCACTTTAGTTAGGCACATTTAAATAAATTTAAAATTAAAATTAAAAAAAAAAGCGAATAAAAAGGGGGATGAAAAATATGGAAAGAAATAAATACATGGAGGTGATTCAGAGGAAAAAATACATAGTCTATTTTGGGAATAGCGTGGCAAGCACCTCAAGGTAGACGGGAATCAAATGCAAATCCCAAGGCGACGGCCAGGATTTGACAAGGCATGCCCCCATAATTTGACACGTGTAATATCTTAGTTTTCGATGCGTGGAGAATCGCGTCTCGTTAAAGACGGCGGAATTCCCGCTGGCGTGCTCTTCTTCTTAGCGGAACCGAGCAATCGACTCGGTGAGGCGACCGGTTTAATGGGACCGCTCTTTTGACCCGGCTAGATTGGGTGATATGGGATATGCGAGATGAACACTTGTCCAAATCAGGCATACGAATTACAACGGATAAATTTATTTAAATAGCATGTGACTCAATTCCAATCTATTTACATTATAAACTTCAACTTTTTTTTCATTGATTACATCTTATATGTACATGAAATGATGTATTTTATTTTTTAATAATTAAAATCATATAATATTTTATGTGAAATTTTTTATTTGTTTTTGAGACTTGAAATCTCGTATAATTCAAGAATTCATATAATCTGGGAGAGTTTCTAGAATTAGAAGTGAGAAGAAGATTGAGGAGATTTTATAGTTTTTTTTAGGGTGCGGGATTAGGAGAGGGAGAGGGAGAGGACCACTTCTCATCTTTTTTTTTTTTTTTATTTATTTATATAATCGGAAGCTTATGTAAAAGTTATATTATAATCTATGTAATACAGGGCTTGAGCAGGCTCGCTTTCAACAAGACAGTCGTTATGTATTCATATGTTATTAATAAATGATGGTATGTATGTTTTCGTAAACCACATCCAGGAGTTGCTCGTTGAGCTCAATGGTATGATTAAGTAGTTGTATGCGAGTTCGGTGAGAAAGTTCAACCAACTCATACCAGTATGAATTATGAACTCGGATAATGTAGAAAGTTTGACTTGAAGAGCTCGCTTGAAAATTGAGATATGGTAGACCCATTCTAAAAATTTGTTGGAATGCTGACGTACTTCAGAAGTACTCGCAAAATCATTTTGTCGTAAGGAGCTCTGCAACTTGTCACTTTAGAAGGTTTATCAAAAGAGTGTGATTGATTTGGTCAGCATCGGGTCACTAGATGCACAACTATTTGGGATTGATTCATTATGCCATGAGACTCATTTAGCATTTGGGCTTTCATGTTGCTTAGCAATTCATTTTGGGCGTACATTTAGTTTTTCGATTCTCTTATCTCTTTGACAAACAGCTTTGAAAAGAAAAATAGAATAAAATGATAAAATAGTGAGTTCTCTCTATATATTACTAGAGGTATGAGAAAGCAACAACAAGTGTTATGCCCTATTGAGTTTTTTCAAAAGACATATAGAATCATATTTGATTATAATGGTGCATTTCACTGCCAATGACTTTATTGGCTATGTCTTGAAGTGTGGTCGTATGAATCTACCATTGAGTTCAAAGTTTCTTTCCTCTAGGGGCTCGAAAGATTCAACTGTAAGGAGAAGTCTCGAGTACTCTCAGGTAATTGTGAATTGTTTCTTATTCAGAAGCCTTCACTCTCTCCGTGGTGGAATTGATGAATGCAAACATTTATTACAATAAATATAAATTTAATAATCTATTAATTTTACTGTTCAATGTGCTATAAAATATGAAAAATAAATAATTGTGAATTGGCAGTGAGCGAGCGAACGTCGTATGAAGTGTGCAACAGTCAATGGTGGTCGACGACAACCGACGAGTCGTAGTCGATGATGGTCAGCTGCAGCCTGCGACTGGAGGCCAACAATAGTTGGGGAGTGGTTGTTGACGGTGGTCAGCGACAAAATAATATTGGACTTCAACTCCTTCTATAAGCTTTAGTCCTCTTCAGGCTTCAAAATTTCTATCATTCCTTCATGAGAGTAGGGGTGTAAACGAGCCGAACACCTCGTTTATATTTCGAGCTCAAAAAGCGTGTTCGTATTCGGCTCGTTTGCTTAACGAGCCGAACACGAGCTGTTCACGAACAAAGAATCTTTTTAACAACCCTAATCATGTAGTCATAAGACAATAAGAGTTTGAGCAAGATTTAAAAATTATTATTTATATTAAAACATCATTTGAATCTAATTTAATAATTTTTATTCTATTTTCTTAATCAATATTTTAATTGA